TTGAGTTGAATTGCAAAAAGATGAAAAATTGTTTTACACAAAATCAGTTCCCCTTTTTCAGCAAAGTAACAAGTGACATAAATAGCGATATAAAAGATGAATCATTGGACTTGAGCAAGCACACACACACACACTGACTGTTGTTCCTCTCCCAGTGCAAACAAGAAGTTTTCCTTTGCATCCTCTAAAAATAATACCGCTGGGAATAGGTGCTGTTGTAAGCTTATTGCAGCAGCTTGTCTCAGCTTGTCTTTCTTATCATCTCTGCTGGTGGCTCAGTCAGTATCAGCCAAGCATCACCACCTAACTAACTAACCCAATAGCCTCAATCGGCTCTTTGCCTCATTCCGCCACCACCACCATCTTCTCCTTCAATGTCGAATGCTTCATTAGGAGGAGAACTACTGTCGATCGATATTCTATTCAGTNTGCTGGTGGCTCAGTCAGTATCAGCCAAGCATCACCACCTAACTAACTAACCCAATAGCCTCAATCGGATCTTTGCCTCATTCCGCCACCACCACCATCTTCTCCTTCAATGTCGAATGCTTCATTAGGAGGAGAACTACTGTCGATCGATATTCTATTCAGTTATTGAACATGCCGCCACCACCAGTTATCTTCCCATCGCCATCTTCCTCTCTTTCTCACATAGAGGCACTGGGAAACAAGAAAAACAGAAAAAACTGCCACTGTCAGTTGGTCAGTCAAAATCAGCGGTGGCCCTCGCACTTTTTTTTTGCCGCCGACGCCGACATCAGCCGACATCACTGGACAGCGTAGTCCGATTAATCGACCCGTCTGATCAGCAGCAGCAGCGGCAGCAGCAGCAGCAGTGGAAACATTAGTGTTAGTGCACATCACCAGTGGCAGTTCGCCAATGCATACTGACACACTGATCAACAGATCGACTTCTCTGGCGATGAACACATCGACTTGCATGTGCACTGTCTTGTCCTTTTCTAGCACCACCATCACCAGCAGAAACAGCAGCAGCAGCAGCAGCAGCAGCAGCAGCAGCCGCAGCCGTCAATGACATTAGTCGACTTTGGCATTGCACAGGTGCTGCTGCTGCTGCTGCTGATGGTGCTGTTGCCGCCATTGTGTTACTTGGTGATGGCTATCTTCAGTGGCAAGTGTCAGTCAGTCGGTCGGTCGGCTGGTTGGTTGGCCAGTCAGTCGGACGCAGTTAGTGCAGGTAACAAGAGTTGTATTCCCAAGGAATACGATTGCTGCTGCTGTTGCTGCTGCTCAGGTAGTGCTAGTCGTAATAATAGGACTGCCATTACTGTACTTGAAGGAAAGAACATGCGGCAGCGGGCTTTTATTTATATGCTAATTTTTCCTGAGAGCCCTAAAGTATGCAAACGAACGGACGGACGGACGTTTTCCTCAGTTGGCTCAATTCGTCGTCGGCGGCATTTTTTTCCCATTGAACAGAGGAAGCAGAACACGAGCAGAAACGGGCACTATTTCGGGATGCTACACTGAAAGTTTTCCTCTTTTTTTCACTGAAGGACTTGTCCTCTCTTTTTAAAATTGCCCCCTCCTCTGAACAAGGTGCTTCAGTTTTGCCTGACCGCCTGACCACCAAAGAAGATCGGCTGTGAAGAAGAAGGAGTCAAGAGTGCCAATTAGGAGAAGAAAGGAGAGCACTTGTCTCTTTTGAGAAACTTGCTGCAAACGGTTGTTGACCACTTTTCTAATGTCAAGTTCAGTTGAGGTAGACTTGGAGGAGTAGACTAGACCATAACTAATTGATTGATTTGATGGTACATTAAACGCAAGTATAAAAAAGAACTCTGAAACAAAAAGCTGAACAAGGTGAGGTAAATCACTTGTAACTAAAAGAAGATGATGATAAGATATTTCAACATCAGGTTGAGATTTGAGTCAGTTGGCAAATCAGGTTTCAACACAAACTCATCTGTCACAAAGCACTTTCTACATTGCAACCTTTTCAACTGTTTCTAAAAACTCATTTTGTTTTTTATGAGCGAAAAAGTATTGAATTTATAAATAAGTTGTCAGCTGAAAGGACTTTTCATTTGTGGCATTCTGCCACAACAATGAAGCAACAACAACCCGGACAAACTCAGACTGTAGCACCTTTCTACAAAGGGTGATAATAAGCAAAAACCGGACAAAGCAAATGGTGTAAAAAAATAAAAACAACAGTAACAACAAATAAAATATACAAAACACAAACAATATACAAATTTAATATTTGAGGTGACGAGTAGGCGACTGTCCGGAAGGTTAGCCAGTAACGGAACATAGCTAGCTTCCCAGCCACTACAAAATATAAAATATAAAAAATTGAAATAATTATCAATTACCCCAAAACTCTACCAATTACCTTATTAATTATGTATTTCTTTCATAAAACGAATTTTATCTGCTAAAAACTTTTGTATTTCCTTTTTTACATTTTCAACGTTTATTTGCGTTGTCATCAAATTATCCAACTCTCCCTCAAGCTGTTTGGCTGTTTCCAAAATGCTTTCAATTTTTTTAGTCAACAAAAAATTGACAACAGCAGCCGAACCGTGGCTAACCAAGTATGCAAGGCAAATGTATCTGTTTTTTTTCTTACCTGGCCATCTGATAAGTTTTAATCCGTTTTTGTTAATAAGTTTAAAATTTTTGTAACGAAATGTGTTTAAATCAATTGTTTGAATCATCAGATTAAAACGCGTTTGGCTGATCTTTACTTGAAGATTGTCTGCATAAAAAACAAAAAATTTTATTTTTAAGTTTTAGCGCCAGCCCATTTACCTAAATTACTCAATGCTTCAATGTAAAGCAAAGAAATTAATTTTTGTTCTTTATATATTAAACTAACTAGTTCTCGAGTGCGACGACATGAAGTTTTTTTTGAATTGTATTCGTTTATATAAATAAAAGTTTTTTTGCAATGTTGTTCCGCATTATCAAGCAATGTTTTTGCACGTTTAAATTTTGTATAGCTTTTTTGAACAAATAAATCATCAAATTCTATTTGTTTGATAAAAGAGTTTAATGTACGCACTTTCCAAACGGTATTCATAAATTTAAAAAACTTTAACGTTTTTAATTTTTCGCGGGATGTGACACTGGCAATAGACATATTGTTGTAAATTGTTAAGTAAAGTTTAAGCAATTTTTTTATGCTTGTATTTGTAAGGTAACCCTGGTTTGTGTACAATAATTCTTTAATTTTGTTCAAATTTTCTAATATTTTTGTCGTCATTTCAGAATCAAACTTTTTGGCATCAACCATTGTAAAATGTGTTTCAATTTTTTCAAAAATCTTTTTAAGAGATATTATTATACGTTTAATTTTATCTATCCCAACTATATTTTTTCCGCGAATAATTTGCTCATATTGTTGAATTTTATTTTTAAATTGAAGAAGTTTCTTTTCAATATTTATTTTTTTTGTGGCTTGCTTAAAAGTTTTGTAACTTACATCAAAATCTTGCCAATTTTCAGTTTGTTTGCTATCAACTTGACCGCTGTTTTTTGAAACAAAAATATCAGCATTTGTTTCTAAATTTTGCAAAACTTGCGGTTTCATTGTTTTTTAAATTAAAGTTTTAAAATTTTAAATTTTTTAGTAAAAACAAGTTAGTGTATAACTTAAACAAATATTAAAATAATAATAAAGTAAAGCATTTATAATTAAACTGTAGTGGTATTTAAAAAAAATAAAAAGTTTTTGTGTTGTTAGGGAAATGTCTAGTATAAAACATAAGTTTTTTGTTGCAAAAACTTATATAAATGTTTTTAAATTTACAAAAATATTGTTATTGCTAAAGTTTTTGTTTTTTGTTGCAACTTTTTTATTGTTGTTTTTTATAATTTATATGCGTTTGTAAAGTCGCAATAAAAATTTTCTTGCACAATTTTCCACAGGAAACTAATAAAAAACTTTTCGTGATAAGAAAATACTGGTCAAAATAACACTGGTTGACTAGCCAAATATACCTAAAGTAACGGTTGCTAGGCCGCTAGTGACATGGCTTTGCTCACGCAAAGTTCGAAACCTTTGTAAATGCTTTATAAGCTGAACTACCATTAAAAGTCAGTCTAGACTACGTTATGCTTGTAAGTCTTTCCGCGCGCCACGTTACCAACCTCTTCTCTAAGATATTTAAATTGACCTTTATTAATTTGAGTACGCTTAATTTAATGGTTTTAACTATTTTTTATCTTATTGTCTAATTTTTAAAATAATTGATTTTAAAAGTTCAAAAATAACCGTTTTGTGTTTTTTACAAACTGGAAACCAAAATGGAAAAATGTGGTTATAAAAGGTAAAAAAGTTTCTATTCAAGAACAGGCAGTAACTGTAATTATTTTTAATTTAATTGTAAAAAGTTTTTATAAATACCCAAAACTCCAAAATCAGCTCATTGCAGGAAGTTGACTTTATTATATGGTTTTGTGTAAGGCTCAAAGGAGTCATTTGGTTGGTAGGCAGTTACAAACATTGGTAAGAAGAAGACGTTGTGTGTTATCTTATCAAATTAAGAGGAAAGTTGCATCACCGAATGAGGATAAGGTCTGCTAAGATTTCTTCTTTGTAACTCTGCTTGTGTTTAACAGTTTTGATGGTCTTGATTTTGTTTATCAAAGGTTGCTGGCACAAATATTAAATGGGCATTTCATTTTAAAGTTTTTTTGCTTGCCAAACTTAAAATTATTTTTCATGTAACAATTAATGTAGCAATCAATTAACCAACTTGTGCTTGACCTCCACCATTGAACACCACTTGTGCCTAAAGTAGATCACTCTTAGCTATCAAAACGATAAATTCATTTTAAAATGCACAAATTACAATCCACTCTTGCAATTGTACAAAACTTCTTCCACGTGGACAGGAGACAAGAACAGCACCTATCGACAAAGAAGAGGCTATCAAAACTTAAAAATTTGTAATAAAAAAGGGGATCAAAAATGGAAAGAGCTTTAGTAACTTCATTTTGGGAGAAGAAAGTGAACTTGAAGCCTAAAGATGAAGCACTTTGTAGTGGTCGCCGCTTGCTTGGCCTTCTCATTCTCATCGGCAGTTTTAGCAGAAGGTAATATAAATTTTTTTCAGAAATTTTTTAACTTATTTTTAACTTCCTTTTTTTAGAAATCTGCCAAACTGCCGAGTGCAAGGCACTGAGTGAGGACCTGCTGCACCACTCAATGAACGAGTCGGTGGCGCCGGTAAGTCCAAAACCCAAAAGTGTTTGCACAGAGTATTTGTAAACACTTTTGTACATCCTTTCACCAGTGCGACGACTTCTACGACTACGTCTGCGGAAAGTGGGCGGCTTCCCACCCTCAGTCGCCTAACTCCCCTCGAGCCATCAACTACTTTGGCCTTCGCCAGGAGCTGGTGCTGGAGGANGGCGCCGGTAAGTCCAAAACCCAAAAGTGTTTGCACAGAGTATTTGTAAACACTTTTGTACATCCTTTCACCAGTGCGACGACTTCTACGACTACGTCTGCGGAAAGTGGGCGGCTTCCCACCCTCAGTCGCCTAACTCCCCTCGAGCCATCAACTACTTTGGCCTTCGCCAGGAGCTGGTGCTGGAGGAGATCGACGAGGCCTTCCTCAACGCCCTGAACTCCAGTAATGATGTCATCCGCTCGGTGGCCACCATTTACACCGACTGCCTCGACAACGCCACCATCGAAAAACGAGGCGTGACGCCGCTGGTAGAGACAGTTCACACCATTCTCGGCGACTGGCCCATTCTGCAGAAGCCAGCTCACAATGCCACCTCAAAAACGCCCCACTGGCAGGACCTCTACGTCAACACGTACGCCCACACGGGCATCGGTGCCGCCTTTGACCTGGGCAGCTACCACAACTTTACGCTGCGAAAATACATCGCCAATGTAAGAAACTGAAGTGAGAATTGAGATATATAAAAAAAATGTGATTTTATCCTCACTTTCCTCTTACTCTAGATTCAATCCGGCACCATCAGCAATGATCCTACCGGTATGTTCATCACAGAGAAGACCCACACGGAAAAGTACCGAGCCTTCCTGCACAAGCTGCTTACCACCTTCTTCGCCGTCCCCGACAATGACCGCCTGAAGGCGGACATTGAGGCGGTGCTCCACCTGGAGCAAAAACTGCACACCGCTTACCAGGAGACCTTCAAGGCACACGTAGGATTCGGCAACTTTGTCGGCAGCTACGCCGACCTGAAAGTGGCGCTGAAGGGCAAAGCCGACTGGCAGTCGATGGTGAACCAGGTTCTGGGCAAGCTGTCGCTCACCAAAGTGCCCCTGGTGACGCCCACTGACCAGGTGCACGCTCGCGTCCTGCCGTACATCGTCGAGGCGGTGACCGCCCTCGAGACGACGCCCATCAGTGTGGTGCAGAACTGGCTCGGTCTGCTGATCGCCGGCCAGGTGAGGCAGCTGATGCCGAATGAGCTGCAGCTGGAGATCGCCAACTTCACCGGCCACCACTGGGACCCGGCGCAGCGGAAGGCGATGTGCAAACTGCTGCCGA